ATACAGGAGGCATCTTGAAGCATTCATTGCCAACAAAGGCTTTTGTACAAATATTAGATAAATTTCAGTAAGCATGTTCAATACTTTTTCCCTCAACCATTCCACATTATTACACATAACTTCATTTCTGGACATTTATGGTTTGATTTCTTTGTATGTATGGATCACTTGGGTTGTTACCGACATCTGGTGAAAATTTCATGTCATTAGCTCCTCTAGTAATATATTTACTGAGAAAAATGTTGACGTGTTCAATACTTACTGTATTTTACCCGCTGTATACACAGCAAAAAAAAAGAAAGAAAAGAAATATACAAATCAAATTGAAATGAAAGGAGGCAGAAAGATGAAAAAAATCTTATATCTGCCCCTTTTTTCTAAAATTAATTTCAAGCAATAATAATCAAGAAACAAAAACAAAATAAAAACTTCAATTCCTTCTCAAACAACAACTTTGATATACATTATACAATTTCATATTTCTTTAATAAACCTATTTTTATCCCTCTCTTAACACACTGAATACATTGAACCGGCATTTTTATAATCACTTTCCAGATTATTCCACAATCTTATTCCCTGAACCGAAGTACATTGGTCCTTCAAGTTTGTTTTATTCTTGGTTTCACAAATATCTCAAGCCTTTTAAGATTGTAAGAACTTTCTCTCTTAACAAAATGTAACTGGATGTTTAAAGGCAACATTTTATGTGCTTTATACATAAGCTGCAAAATATTATAATCAACCAACTCATAAAATTTTTAATAATTTTAATTTACAAAATAATATATTCGAAGGGTGACTGTAATGTTTTCTGGTGAAAATTCTTACGGCTCTTTTCTGTAAAATTAAAAAAGGATTTGTGATTGTTTTACATGCTTTACCCCAGACTTCAATACAGTAAATCAAGTGTGGAGCAATTATTGAGTTATACAATATAAACAGAGCTTTATCATTGAATAACTCCCTTACTTTACACAGTACTCCAACAGATTTAGCTATTTTTGTTCTTAAGTAATTTATATGAGCTCTCCATGTCAGCAATTTGAGGTTTTAGATGCAAAATTTAAAACTGTATTGTAATGATTATATTGCTTTTTGTTGTTTTGTTTTCTTTTAATTTTAACATACACTCTTTTTGTATTCATATTTCTTTTCAACAATCAAATCAGTGTCACTTTGTTGGAACATCTTTAACAAAATTTTCTTTTTAGCATTCAACTTTATGTTCACTTTGATAAAAGTCTAAATTTTTTACTTTAGAAGAACTAAACATCTAACATTTAACTGCTCCATATCTAATTATGTTTTCTGGTGCATCAATGTAGATTTTGGCCTTCTGATTAGAGCAAACACTATAAGTTAGTGTATGTTTGCATTTAAAGTGCAACCTTTGAGTGAACGTGATGAAGGAACTTTCTTGGAAGGATTGGAGGGCTAACAGATTTCGCACAATCTGTTAGCCCTCAGAGTATGTGTTGGAGATGACTCTAAGCAAATACTGCACCAAAATGTAGCTCAATATCTGTAAAAATGACACAATTACAGCCATTTTTGTGTTTCCTACGGTTAATTATCTTAAATCAGGTTGACTCCAAAGGTTATAGACCAGCTTCTGTCCGGTGATTCACAAGATATTTTGCTAACAGCCAGATACAAACTCACACACAGTTACATGACTGCCTGCCTTTTATTGCAGCAACATTGACTGTAACACCAGTCTTCAAATAAATGTGCCTTAGTTTTCCAGCAAAGACAACTTTCCCTTTGGGATGGTGAAGTATAATTTATATTTAGCTTTTATTCTGTGTGCATAAACAGCAAATTTGCTTTGATCCTTTTTCTTAAAAATGTAAGATGTGCATAATTATGTTTGTTTGTGGGGTTAAGATAAGGCTTCACCAGATAATTTCTTTGAATAAGTTCACATAAAAAAGAGGAAAATATCAGTGAGTAAAGATTTTAAACTGCGCTGCGCACCTGTTTTTATTATCCTCTAGGAGTAAAGTAATTGTGGGAAATGAGCTGCAGGACACAAAACTTAAAATTTACAACAAAACCTTTTCTTTTACTCTGACAATTCCATCAAGACACTTTTAAAACAAGGTGATAGACTTGAAGCTCTTTTATTTAAGACCAGTCATTAAGGTGTGCAGTGTTAGGTATACTTATTGAATTCGTTTTTTATTCATGTATTTATTTTAGATGCTGCATCAGTGAAAGTGTGATGAGCAGGGTTTACTTTGTAAAGTGATCAATCTGCAGCAGTTACTCCTTAAAAAGGAGGTTTGTTTTTCCTTCAGTAATGACGCGAGTGGTCATGTCCTCGCAACACATAATGATGTTTGTCTCTCCCCCCTCACCCCACAGGACGAAGGCCACGCTCTCTGGTCTGATGGTTCACCGTATAATCAAACCAACGCTTTAATGACTCTGCTGCCAGAGAATCATACGGACTGTTTCGCCTTCCAGAGGAAGGCCATGAGACCAGGATACTTCCTTACTCCGTTCTTCTGCGACATCCCCTTACCTTTCATCTGCCAATACACCAGTAAATAATATAACGAGATTTATTAACCAGACTAATTAAAGCTAATGCACAACATTCACACGACAGTGATCCTGTTTCTCTTTACTGTCTTTTCTTCTGTCTTTGTTTTAACATGTTTGTGCTAACATTTTATACTTTTCAAAAATATTTTACTTTTTTAAAAAAATATTTTTCACTATAAGATCTCTAAATCCTTCAAAAACACATTTCTATTATAAATCTAACCCAGGCTCGGTTTTTCTCTTCTACTTTTTTCTACTTTTGTCTTTATTTTTTTTGTCATGCTACTTTAAGTTTTGGTCAGCATTTTGCTACTTTTTACTAACCTTTAGCTAATTTTAATTTTTAATTAGTACTTTGCTGCTTTAGCTAGCATTTTGCTACTTTTACGTATTAGCAGGTGTGTTGCTGCTTTAGCTAGTTTTGCTGTTTTCATCCTTTTAATTAACATTTTGTAATTTTTCCTTTTTGGCTGGCATTTTGCTATTTTGTTAGCTATTAGCTTGCATTTTGCTACATGTAGTTAGCTTTTTTTTCCCTTTAATATTTACCTTTTAGCTAGAGTTCTGCTATGCTTAGTTATGGTTTTGCTTCTTTTGCTTTTTAGCCAATATTTAGCCTTTTTGTGTGTCCCTGTGATGGACTTGTGACTTGTCCAGGGTGTACTCCGCCCTTTGCACTGTGACTGCTGGATATGGGCACCAGTGACCCTGAAAGGAATAAGCACAGAAAATGGATGGATGGATAAATCTAGCATTTTTCTAGTTTTACCTTTTAAGAGAGTGTTTTGCTACTTTAGCTTGCATTTTATAGCTTTTAGCTAGTGTTTTGCTACCTTTAGCTGTACAAACTTATTATATCTTTCTCATTAAGTTTCTTTAGTCGTTCAACACTAAACAGTCACATTTTTGTCACATAAAATGCTACTTTTCTTGTCCTTATTCTATTATTAGAAGTATTTTTTCTTTCATTTGCAGTCCCGTCAGCTGCTGCATCATTTTCATTTGACCTGGTTCAGGTGACAGACCAACAGGTGGAGCTTCGCTGGGGTGACTTTTCACCTTTCCTCAATCTTTCATCCTTTGAAATACTCCTCCAGTATCAAGAAAGAGAAAATGGCAAGCTGGGTGGTTCTGTAACAGATGGATGCAGGGAGTCGGAGGACAAAAAGAGAACAAAGACAATTTTCAGAAGAACTACAAGGGTCCCTATTTCTCTCTCCTCTAGAGGAGTAACTGTGGCAGGTTTGTCTCCGGGGAGCATCTACACTTTCACTCTTCAAGCTTCTCGTCCTGCTGGCCCCAGCTGGAGCCTGGGACAAACTCAAACTGCGTACATGAGTGAGTCAGCTAATACATATTCACACACAGAAGTTACTGCAGAGAATACTGTACATATGACATGCTAACAATGTCAAATGTTTTCACTTCATTCCTTACAGGACCTTTTCCTCCACAGAACATCACTGTTGGCACCGTTAGAGCCAGTCACATTAGTGTCCACTGGAAGCTGCCAGATGCACAGTGTGTGAACGAATGGACGTTTGCTGTTCTCTGCAAAGACGTGTCTTCAAGACAGGAGAGCGTCGTTACCGACATCTCCAGGGTGTCTGACAGGAAGCAGTTGTACAGCGCTGTGATCGGAGGACTTGAGTCTCACAGGAAATACAGGGTTGAGGTGTTCACAGTGACTCGGTTTGGTGTATGGAGCTGCAGACAGGAGCCTCTGACTGTACAGACAGGTGAGCACACAGCAAAGCCAAGAGTTCCTAATAGCTATTTGCTTTCACAAAGCTCACTTTGATGAGTCAGTAAATCGTTTTAACTTGTGTTTTTGAACTTTATTTACAAGTAGAAATTAAATTTGTGCATGTAAGTTGCAATATATTTCCTATATTCATTATATATATTGAAATATTGGTATTTAGAATTGAATTATATAATGCTCTGCACTGGATATATTTAGGTTTATTCAGTTAAATTTGTCTGATACACCTCATTTTCAGTTATAATGCTGCATTAACCATATTTTTTTAGGTATATTATGTCCCTAAATATCAAGAATAGTTTTCTCTGTACTGTAAGATTAATAATTATTATGTTTGCTTTTAAGTATTATAGTTTCATAGAAAACTCTTAATTTTTAGAAATTCTTAGTACTTAAAATGAAATTTCAAATTAAACTCTTATTTTTAAGGTGAGTTATTATTGTTCCTAGCCTTACCAATTTTTGGAATTTTGGATTTCATTAGGAACAAGAACTCTAAATGTCCCAGCGTTGAGCAGAATAACAGTTTTTTGTGTCTGTTAGCGGTGAAGCCCCCCTCTGACTTGCTGGTGCTGAGCACAAAGGGAAACCTGACGGTCTGCTGGATCAGTCCACCTGATGATCATCCAGATGGTTACTATATCACGTCCCAGTCTCTCGGTAATCCCACCGTTTCCTCACAATGGATGAACGCCTCCAGCTCCGGTGAACTCTGGACAAACACATCCATCTGTGTGAACATGGGCCCATTTATTCCTGGTCACACATATGATGTAGCGGTTGTTGCTTTGAGGGGAAACGACAGGAGCGAGGAGTCCAGGATCACACACACCACAGGTGAGGTATATTAAAAAAAAACCTGCCCAAATCTTTTTATCATGAATTTGACTCATTTCTTTGTGTTTGTGCAGCTCCTCTGCCCGTGCAGGTCACAGTCCCGCTTTCAGTGGGCCCAAACTTCACTCAGCTGTACGTTCAGCCTCCTACGATGGGTGTGGTGGACGGGGTGGAGGTGTGTGTGTGTCCTGGCGTTTGCAGCCGTGTGTGCGTGGGATCGTGTGGATATAGGTGTGACTGGCATTCGCTTCCCGCTGGAGTTAAGACCATAACCGTCAGACATCTCAGTCCAGGATCACAGTACCAGCTCAGTGTGTACAGCACCAGTGGGGGGCAGACCGGACCACCGTACTACACCCATCCCTTCAGAACAGGTGAGAGATCCATTCTGCAACAAAATGTTTGACAATAGCAAGGAAGATGTTCAAATTTTTCATGTGCGCAACCCACATACTCAGCTCCACTCATCCCACAAATGCATGTTCCTTACAAATGTGGCACCGTTTAAAATGAAAATTAACAGGCTTTCTAACGCTACAACATTTATTGCCAAGAAGCATTGTTACACCAAAGAAATAATCTACCAAATACAAATTTCCTTACGTTTTAGACTCAGCCCTGTTCAAGATGGCCGCCACAGACGCTATAAATCAGTCAATTTTACAGCTTGAGCTGAAATTAGGTATGATAGTAGCTGACAAATATCCCCAACATATTTCAAACGGCTCACACTGGATCATTGTTTAAATTTTTGCCTAGAAGGAATGAAATTTCTTCTTTAAAAGTTGACACCTATACAGACAAATCAGTGTTTGACAAAGTCCCAATACAAAATGTAAGGGTGAAAAAGCCTTAGGCTTATGCTGCATGTGTCACTCTGTTGTAAAGGATTTGATGCCGTATTGTTTTTAGTTTTGTGCTTGACTTCAAACCAGCTGTAATAAAACTTCCCATTTCCATTTTAGTTTACATTTAGCAGGGCTGTATGGTATTAGTTGCAACAGATCCATATTTTTCTCTCTTTTCTTTTCTGTCAGCACAACACACTGTATTTTAGCAACTATCACCTAAATTGGCTGTGTGATCATTTAAGTCCATGTTAATGCAATTTGTGTTTTTCAATTTATAACAATCCTTTACAATACTGACACTGCACACATTGATTTTTGCCATAACCGTATATTTTTGTTATATTGCCCCAGTTTCTGTGTTTAGCAGAGATAAGATTGTTACATTAAAATTTATGCTGTTTATAGCTTTTGATTGTGTTTTATGGAACACCTGAAAAATAAATCAATACGTTTCCCAACGTCCACATTTGACTTTGGTTAAAAGTGTTTTTATTTTATTTTTTTACATTGTCATCTCATAGATTTTTCAGCAACCAGGTTAAAAATGTAATTCACCCTAATACTGGCGCTCGATCCTGTCGGCTTCGTATCTTTGAAGATTTGTGGTGAAATGATAGAAGATTTAGAAATGATGGAAGCTGCATTTTTTTGGGTCAGGCTGTGTGCTATAAGGTGGATCTTGCAAGCCACGAAGCATCAAACACAAATTAAAAGAAAGCATAATTTAAGCTTTAAATGCAACAAACTCATTAAACTTTAAGGATGATGTTTTCAATTTGTGATTTTATGTGATTTGCTCAGGGTGCATGATTGCTTTTTGTGAATTTCAGAAACAAGAAGAGCTAACAGTATTTCTTTTCAATTGGCTATGTGCACAATATGGCTTCTGCTAACTTCCGGACAAAGGTTATGAGATCGAGTACTTCCGGGTAAAGATCTCTGTTATTCAGGTTGGATTGTTTGGATAGGAAACGGTTGAAAAATGAGCATGTCAGGTGTCCAGAGGAAGAAATTGTGCTATCAGCGAGT